TTTTTTTTCGTGGACAGGGTCGGCAGGACCCCACTAAAAATTCCGTAGTTTGATTGAGCGTGTACGCTATTTTTCACTAGTTCATATCAAATTCAATGTTCAGTTTCGACTCACGAGAAAAATGGAAGGACTGTCCGTCTATAAGCTACATTCGTGATCAGTCAAACTGTGGTACGGATTTCCGTTTTCTGGAAATTGGACAAGAATATCTATCCTCACCAGCTGTGCCATCATAATGGATTCTAGCTACTAATAATCTTTTTCTGAATCATTCAATCTTACTCTGCGTAATCTTAAAAAGTGAACAGCGCCCTCGAGGCTTGCCGTCCACAATCCGATGATATTCCGACCTTCATTTTCTAGACTTACGAAAAATGACAGCAAAATCCGTTCTCTGAAACTTTTTTGGGCAATGATCCACTATAACCTGGCACGGTTATTGATCCAGAAGCCTCTAGACAGACTTCTCTGCCTCTATAATATGGAGTAGTCTTAACGGTTGAAAATCACCACTTAGCTAGGTCAAACTACAAGTCTTTCAAATAACCAAACGATCAGGAGACATCTCGTTCGAAACAACAAACAGAAACGTTACACGCCTGACCTCACTCAGTTTCACTTCAGTGTATTTTGTTACAGGCTCATGTTGGGCTGTTGCGGCTGCATCGACCATGTCCGATCGTCTTTGTATTCATTCAAAGGGTAAAATAAAGGTTGTTCATGTAACATCAAGGATGCATAAGTACATAAATAAAAACAAAATGAATTCCTTATGCACTCGTCACCCCGCACTTATTTTTGTGTGAAGCTGAACGTACAATTTCAGACATTAGTTTCGGATACTGACATTCTTTCATGCTGCGAACCATTATGTGGAGACGGGTAGGCTGCTTTTCAAATTAATATGTGAAAACGAGTTGCATTGTATTGAAGTAAGGATTAAATAATGAATGCATCTAAATCTCTAGAACTACGGAATTTACAATTTTTTTTGAAGAATAAGCACGGAACCTTTTTTGGTGGATAAGCGCTGTAATTTTGAAATCATGACGTCTCATCGTTTCATCTTGCCATGCACAATATATGTAACTCTATGCTCATAGGTTTTGGGTTAGGAGTACCGTGTTTCTATAAAGATACGAGGCTCTGAGAACTCTTTACTTACAGATGCAACGGAGGTTCTCTTATGCGAGCCTGGTATTACGCTAGAGACCATGGTGTATGCAGCGGAGGCAGATATGAGGAGAAGGTACTGCACCACTTCATGAGGCAAAAATGAACACTTTTGTTGTTCATATTATCCAATGCGATGGGAATCTATCAAGTTTTACAAAGCACATATTGTAGGGCGTCTGTAAACCATACGCTTTTCATCCATGTGGATGGCGTAAAGGTCAGAAATACTACGGTGAATGTCCGAAGCACATTTACAAGACACCCCTATGCAAGCCTTACTGTCAGTATGGATATGGAAGACGCTACAAAGACGACAAAATCTATGGTATCGTCAAAAATTGAGGAGTTTCGTCATTGTGGTCAATAACCGATTACTGTTCCAGCTAAAGCAGTATACGGAGTCTTCAGTTTTGAAGATGCTATTCGAATGATTATCATGAAGAAGGGGCCTGTCTCGGCAGCGTTTACTGTTTATGAAGACTTCGCGTACTACAGAAGGGGAGTCTATGTGGTGAGCACGGTTTTGACACCTGCTTTCATAGGCTGCTACCGTTTGTGATGTTGCAGTTAGTAGGAATTATTCGTTCTAAATGCTTTTTCCCGTGTTCAGCACACGGCAGGCAAAAAGACGGGCCGACATGCTGTGAAAATCATCGGATGGGGAGTTCAAAACGGCACTAAGTATTGGACAGTTGCCAACTCGTGGAATACTGACTGGGGAGAAAACGGTGTGTGACGTTCTTGTTGTCAAAAATATTGGTTTTCGTAGGCTTGTCTATTAAAGGCACAATCCGCGATAATCCAATGGGCGGGTATGTCAATTACGTGTCCGCCTCTCCTTGTTCGTCAGACAGTCTGATGTGACCTCGAATGAGAGGCGGACACGTCATTGACATACCCGCCCATTGAATTATCGCGAACTGTGCCTTTAAGGGTCTAGAGTGGTTGTGCATTTGTTCGCGCTCTCAAAGAAATCAAGCAGTTTAACTGAATAAGAACAACCATCTGTTGTACTTCCTCTATTCCACTGGCCCACTACAGTTCATCATATACTAAGTTAGGCTGTTGGATAGCAATCTGGATACTACATGGCTTTAATATGAAAAAGAGTGAACTGTTTTCGATGAATAAACGATCAATTCTAGGAACGATCTGGAGCTCTACTGACAATTGCTTCTCAAAGACAGCGTATAGAAATTTTTCATCTTTGTTATATGTTTCGATTAAAGGCACAGTTCACGATAAATGGTTTGTGAGATTCCCCCACAGGATGAATTCGAGGCCTCCGCGTATACCATGTCTGGCACTACCAGGTCGGAAAACGGGCTAGTTAGGAGGTTATAAAGGCTGAAAGATTGGTCCTTGTGTATCCTCGGACGAGTTTCACCGGTGTTGTAGAGGCTGCACCGATCACAAGGAACCCATGTAGGAGGTTTAAACAACTTGACATGACCCATTGCGACATTGAAAGGCACTTCTATACAGTTCTCGTTTGATGTAGTCAGCTCTTTGTGCAATTACAAAAACTGAAATTTCGTCCGAATACTCCTTCCATGTTGTTTCCGTCATGGCAATCTCGTACAAACTCTGTTTCCCCTATTTTTGAGGAGAAATATATTTCTCGAAATCAGAGAATTCTCTCGCTTTCTTCACTACCGATGAACTATTCCCAATCTATACTTCCGTTTTTCGAATAAAAAGGGGTACCTCAAAATTATCGTGAACTGTGCCTTCAATATCCCACCGAACTCGACGAGTTCAACTTGCGCCCACAGTCCAAGAACAGATGTAGTGATAAGGAAAAAGGTGTCACTAATTTTTCCCGTGGAACCTTGATGAGACGGGACCTTGATGTGCAACGTGTTATAGGCTCAGGCCTCGCGGGTATCACAAAGTCTAAACCAGTCATTCCACAGTTTTGGCCGCATGTAGAGGGAAACCTTTATATTAGCCCTCTTTGAAACTTGGGCATGAGTTAAGTATTATTAGTTAAGCATCTGCGTCAAACGTAATTCGTAATATCCAGGAGTTTCGGAACGTCAAGAGAAGACAAACTCATGGAAGTATCAGGCGAAGCACGTGTTCCACCATCATGAACCTATTTAGAGCAGTAACACGAATGCTCATGAGAATGTAGACAGGAATGTAGATAGACTCTTTGGCCTTCCCTACTGACGTTCAATGACTATCATTTAAGGTTATTTCCGCATTTTGCGTGGAAAGAAGCATTGCGGCATCGAATCATCAGTATACACTGGAGATTTCTAAGCGTGAAACTTACCTGAGTGGAATAAAAAGTGAAAATGTGCGATGCTGTCAATCGATCTGGTGTAAGCGTTGGTTCACTGTCTGCACTTACCATATATTTATCTATTCAATTAGACTTTTTGTGGATGAGCTGACTATATGTATTAACTATTCTGATAATATAGCCGTTATATCGAGTATAGTTGTTTAATCTCCTTGGCACGATGGACTTGCCACAATCATCACCACACGATAGATTACCATGATTTTATTGCGACAAGTAAAACCTCAGCGACAACCTAATTAAACCATATGAATAAGAACATACAAATACATACAAGAAGGTACGAACCGTCATACATACGAAAGGAACAAACCAAGTGAGTGCTTAGTGATATTATTAGCGTATAAAGCACAAAGAAATAAGTTAGCATTCCTCAAGCATAATAAAGAGCGATATAAGAAGCGTAATATAGAGCGATATAAAAGGCGTAATAGAAGCGTGGATTGCGTGAGGATAGCATTAAGAAGATCAAAGGCAACTGGCCTCTGTCCTCGTTCTGGCGTGCTTATATATGCGAGGCTTATATCGAGCCTCGCATATATAAGCTCGCCAGAACGGGAATGTGGCATTTTGTTCAGTGAGAAAGGTGAGATAAGGGATGAGAAAGTTGAGATGAGGGTTGAGAAAGTTGAGATAAAGGAATGTTTATAGCCGCGCACGGCTCAATGCGCCGAGATTGCAATGTGTTACAGTAGCAATAAAGAACTGAAGTCGCGAGATACCTAGCTGATGATTGACGACTCGACTGGACAATGGCGGCCCTTTGTTTGGCTCATGGTTGCACTTGTGTAGTCCTTAGCCAGCTGCGAGGCGTCTTTGTTCCATATTTTCACCCTGTGCTGTCTGACAGCTGAAATCAAGTCACTTTCCATGTGTTATGAGTCATGGTCAAGATTGATTGATCTAATAACGGAATTATAGGAAATCGCGTATTACCGCGATACTGACATAGCGCATTATTGACACGTTATAGTTAAAATGTTACTACACTGGACTGTCACACACAGAATACAAAGAAATGACATTTTTATGATGCCATTTGTGGATCCTCATTCAGTACGGGTCGGCCCCAACACATAATAGAAGAAATACAATCGCAAATAGCGATCAAGTAGTGAGTGAGAGGCGGTGTCCGTATATTGAGGGGACTACATAGTCAGATGTTTTCTAGTCACTTAACATTAAGGCGTCAGAAGTAACTGATGCAACATCTACTATGTTAAGCAGCATCACCAACGTCCAATATCCTCAAAGGTCTTCGCTTTTATCTTTAGGTTTGTGTTGTTCAGTTATAGAATAAAAGTTCAGAATGCACTAAGTAACATCTGGAACATCAATCGCTCGAAGACCGATTACCTTTTTGAGAGCTGTTTTGAATTGTTTTTGATTCGTACTTCGTAATACTGACAACGGAGGTTTGCACAACTATTTACTTGTTCTACAAAAGGCAAAAGGCTGTTTGAAATAAAAACTTTTCTGCATGTGCCTATTTTGGAACAAGATGAAATGGATTACCACGCCTACTATTCCTTTGACAAAAAAAAACAATATTTTGATGGACGTAGTCGTAGGTCATCCCTGAAGATTTCAAATGCCAAGATCAAATTGTAGAGAGTTGTTACCAGTTAGTGAAGGCTCGGTCAACAGCATAGAGATGANTTACCCTGACACTTACTCTGTTTTGCTCGCATAATAAAATAAGCCATACTCGGCAAATAAAATAACGATTTTATTCTTTTGTCATTACGTCTTATGTAGCTCTTCAAGAGTCAAACTAAATAGCAGTCTCAAAAGCCATTCCAAAACTCCACTTTTTATTTTTCAAGCCATTTCTCATCTTCGACTTTAATCATCGAGAGCCATCCATCTATCTTAAGGCATTCGAATGACTGGAAAGAGAAAGTAGTCGATGCGAAGTCATAGAAATTTGATCAGAATCCTGCTACTTTATCATGTTTGTAGTCCTCAAAGGAAAGTCCAGTGAGACTAAAGTACGGTGCCGGAGATAGAAGTAGTGATGACTGACAAAAACAGCGCGGGATTATTGCCAGAAAAAAAGAGCTTCTTCTCGTCAAGAAGCCGGGTTATTGCCATGAAAAATGAGCTCCTTTTTGTTAAAGAGAACAAGAAGACGCAGTTGTCCCCCGAATTAAAAAACAACTTGGGGGAGAATTTTACTTGTGGATAGATTTCAACCACGACAGAGAAAAAGCTTCTCGAGGAGATTATTCGTGCAGTAACAGACAATTTTTGAAAAGAAATAGTAGCACGATTCATACGTCAAATCAATAGATAAGTAAAGTTGAAGCAAGATCTTCACTCAATGAAAGCAAAGCAAGGTGGAACTATCATTATAACCTCTAGGAGAGAACGTTACTCTAAGGTCTAGTTTGTCGATCGGTGGAGTCGATCGGTGGAGTCTAACAGTCACAAGACTAACCTGCGTTTATAGCCCAGCCCAGTTTGCGCCAGTGCAGCACTAAACCCTAATTGTATAAGAAAGCACAAACAGAACCAGTGCCATACGGCGTGTCGTGAAAGGGATAGCACGGTGAAATATAATATAATCAGGCTCATCACTATTTTTGTCACACTGGCTACTTGAGCAAGCAAAAAATAGGACAAGTGGAAAACAGTCTTGATCCGTTCTATCAGTGCTGAAGATCGATTCGCTCACAACCTTCCTAACGGCGTGGCAGTATGATATTTGAGATTTATAGCTTTATAGTTTAATTCGCACTGCATATTTCTACTTTCGAATAACAGGAACTCGTGAAATGGAATGTATATGGTTTTTCTTTTCCATATGACATGGCTCCTGATAAAGCTCTATCTGACAATACGCGTTACCTCCTTCCCAATCGGCGAACATATAGAGAACCACGAAATCGCTAAACTAAAATGTCAGAAATGTTGGTGAGTTGACACTTAATACTTCCTAATTTTATCCTTATTTAGCTTGGCTTTGTCTGTTATGCCCTATGCTGGGCGGAATCCAGTGAACACAGAACTTCGACTCATAGTCGACATATCTTAGCCATAGGGAAATGAATAAGTTTACGCTCATGACAAGTTTCCACGATCTACAGGTAGTCCTAAATGGGGTAGAGAAAGTAGGCACTTATTTTGGTGAGCTTGATGACGGTGGCAAGAAAATAAATCTTATCATATCGGAGGTTGCTTACTTGAGCTTTGAATAGGCAGTTCATTTCTAATCGAACTATGAGTAGTTCTATATTACGCCTCCGTAAATGAAGTCCTATGTAGATGATCACTGAAAAGTTGATTTATGCTACCTTTCCATTCTCTATAATCTGGAGTCACAAGTTATCAAAGTTACGGCTGAAACTTGATATTTAGGCCCTACTGTTTTTTTGCACCTTTTTTGTTGTTCGATCGGAGCAAACCGTACTCACAGCAGGTATGGTGTTTTCCTTCATTTGAGTCTTTCCACGAGATCTTTTTCCAACTATGCAATGTTCAAGCTTATGTAATCAGTTTTAGGCGAAATTCTGCTCGTGGTGAGGGGGAGGGCATTTGTATTTATTCTGAGTTAGATAGGAACATGTCCCTTTCGTTCATAGAACGTTGCTAAGACCTATCGCATTGCTTCGGATACAATCTTTTGCTGAATACGCATCTACAGATTTGTCTACGATTTGGAGCCTTCCCATCAGCAAAATCGCACTTCCACCACCATTAGGTACATCTCTGTCCCTTGTTGGTGTGATCTTGAAGCTAATGTTGCTGGGATGATTCAAAGTTTTTGCAGCAGACAGCAAGGCCGAGGAAAATCTGATGATCTGATAGCGGCCATAAGGGCCATCCCTTTTGCTTTGTAAAGCTACAGAGTGGACCACCGCATTTGATAAATTAGTTAACCATGTGGATCCGTGAGGAGGTGTGAACGGTTTCCTTCATATCTTTATGGCGAGTAGAATTTCTAGAATTTATTGTAACAGAAACCAATTACGACATCGCCCCGACTACCGATTCCACTACCCAAATCTTAGCTTCAGATGAAATTAAAAGTTCTAGTTCACGAAAGCTCTCACACAAGTTTTGAATGTAATTTTCGCATCTCAGGCCAGTAACATTCTAGAAAAACCAGTTATCAAGTGCTATCATCTTAAAAGCTCGTTTGAATTTCAGAAGAATTCGCTGCTAGACCAATTTCAAAGGAAGCTCAAAAACTGACCGGTAAAGCGCTAGTAGACTATGTGAAGGAGCATCAGCCATTTTTCAAGGTATGGCTTGTCTATAGAAACTCTTTTCCGTAGATATGAATGCTGATAGCATTATGTTTACCGGGAGGAAGAAAGCCTCGGCGGTGAAACCTATTTTCAATTAGCAGTCCCACCGTATGAGCACCGAATCTCGGATCAAAATCCTTTCGAGACTATACAAATCTGAAGCAATCTTGCCTTTCATTCCTCCAATTTCTATAAGGGGCGCCCACCGACACGTCTGGAAGAATGTGAAAAAAAACGAACTTACACATCGGCGACCTTTTGCAAGTCATTATATAGTTTGAATAAGCATTCGGACATTACTATTTGGTTTCTGCTTTTGCGGCACTACCTCGCTTTTGAATGAAATTCTTATTTTACCTCTAACATTCCACCCGGAAGTGCAGAGAGTATGCCCAGAATCACACGAAAGTGCAGGGAATAAGCCCAAAGTTAAAGATGATTGATCAACCCTATGGATTAATGCCTTCAATATCGAACCAGGAAGTTGACACGCACACCGTACTTGGTCCAACGTTTTCTTTGATTTCCTGTGAGACGCTCTAGACGCGTGTTTTTGCCGATCCAGAAGCTACGTTTATCTGAATATGTAATGTATTTATGAGATGTACTATACAATTAATGTTTGCAGTGGAATTTAGGCTGAGTACTCGCCCGATGTAATTGAACAGCGTAAGAGAACTCTGATGAAGATGGAATTACTTGAACACCCCATGCAAAAAGAAATCGTAGCGAAAGCCAAAAAACTGGTCATAAACGAAGACATTCCTGAAAGGTGACTTGTTTATTTGCCGATAAGATGCTGTCATGTGGGCATTCTATCAGCTTCTGTTTTTGAATCGTAACAAAGGACAGCTAACAAGTATTTTTGGAATATTGATCCGTGTGATTCTGTTCGTCAAACGATCGATTGGACATGTAGAGTGGAAAGCGTCTACGTTTCGAGGAAGCTGGGGGACTTCTTTCCATTATCAAGCCTGAATAATACTTCCTGCCTTTCTGGATTTATGCAGCTTGTCCTAGAGTTACAGGATCTCACCTCTCAGCTATCACAGCGATGTCATCAGCGCTATTTTAGTAGGGATAGTACCGATATCGTGCGAAAGAGACAAAGGAAAGCTTATCACACCCAGTTTCTGTTTGGATGAGATGAGAAACTGAATTGTAAAGGACTTCCAACTTATGCCATTCCGTGTTCAGGTGCCCCGTTGCACAAGCGAGCGACAGAATCCTACTGAATTCACGTGAATCCAAGTAGATCTATGGGTAGCAACATTGTTGTTTGTGATGAAAGTTTAAAACATTCTACCTGAGTGACATGTGAGGTGCCCATGCTAGTCGTAACTCAGTTCAAAAGTTCATGTTTAAAAAAAACGCGCTTAATGGCACAGTTTACGATAAAAATGGTTTCTGGAATTTTCCCATAGGATGAACTTGAGGCCCCCTCTTATACTATGTCTGACGCTACCATGTCGGAAAACGGCCTGGTTAGGGCGTTATAAAGGCTCAAAGATTGGCTCGTGTGTACCCTCGGACGAGTTTTACCGGCATTGTAAAGGCTACACCGTTCACAAGGGAACTCATGTAGGGATTCAAACAACTTGTCATGACCCATAGCGGCAGTGAAAGGCAGTTCTGTACAGTTCTGGCATGATGTAGTCAGCTCTTTGCGCAGTTGTAACAACCGAAATCTCGTCCGAATACCCCTTCCATGTCATTTACGTCATGGTAATCTCGTCCAACCCCTATTTTTCCCACCTCAAAAATATCGTGAACTGTGCCTTCAAAGGTGTTAAAGAGACAAATGAGGTAAATTCCGAAACCAGCAGTATCAGTGTGCAATCATTAGTAATAACAATTTCCAAAAGGTTAGCAGTATAGCCTAGGAAAAGCTTTTCATTGCTTCCGATTCATACATGAGTGATGTTTGACATCCGAACACTGAGAAAGATGTATATATTCGCATTCAGCTTCGACGCTCGGGAAAAATGGAAGGACTGCCCGTCTATACGATACATTCGTGATCAGTCAAATTGCGGTAGGAATTCTTGTTTTCTGAAAGTTTTTGGCCAGTTCAGGCTGAATCCCCTTCTTCCAACTAAACACTTGCCCTATTTCTCTGAGATATATCTATGCTTTCCACATGATGGACGAGTGGTAAAAACAACAGTGTGGTTTCTGAATTTACTAAATAAATGATCAAATATAAAAGCGAGCATATCCTTATCGCCTTTGCAACCATTTATTAGCCCTACCTTCACCATTCGGCCCACCGCCCAAGGAAAACGACATGTTGCATTTATATTTATGCAAATGAATTCTATCCTCTTTTTTACAGGCTCATGTTGGGCTGTCTCGGCAGCGGAAACCATGTCCGACCGCCTTTGCATTCATTCTAATGGTACAAGAAAGGTTGGTGGTTACAGAGGCTATCATAAAGATTGTTTTCTTTTTGGTTGCTAGCGTGGAGGTACTGATGATGCTGCACTGTTGGCGTATATACAGCCTGGGAGAGGCGTCTATCACTTGAACATGGTACCAGACTGATGAAGAGTATGAGAGCGCAAGCACTTGTTGACCTGGGAAAGTCTGTGCTTTCATCCTCAATGGCGACCAGTTTACTACGAGTACGTCAGTAACGTCAAAGGGCTTCAACTGATGACCTGAACACCGTTTCGACCTTCGAAGAGAAGACGCACTAGCACATTCAAAAAAGGGTAGCTGTACTCCGAAAGCCTGAACTTTTCTACCTCAATAACTGAACCAAAAGAATGAGCTACTGCCACAGAATAGAGCACAAGAGTGCTATTCGTGGGGCTTTCTAATAAATGTATATGAGCAGCAGCGAAATCTGGAACAAGCAGCCAGTCACACGACTTTTAGAAGAGATCGTGCGCCGAAATGTGACCATTTTAGACAATGATTTCGGATACCGATATGCTCTCATGCTGCGGATTTGCCTGCGGATTTGGGTGGGTTTTTTTGTCAAAGTCAACATTTTATCTTCATGCTCATAGATGAAGAGTGAAGTGTAGAAATCATTTGCGGTGAACTTTAACCGGCTTTATTTACAGTTGCGAAGGTGGCTTAGCCATCGGAGCATGGTTTTATGCCCAGGATTTTGGTGTATGCAGTGGGGGACGATACGAGGAGGAGGTATGTGCATGGGAATGCATGGTTGAGGGTCTTTTTTCACTATGACGGAAATATGCCATAGGATCATTCCCTTTTATCCTCTCGTTAGGAACAGCTAGGAAATGTCTTTTCTCAGGGTGTTTGCAAGCCATACGTTTTCCATCCATGTGGATTTCATAGAGGCCAGAAGTACTATGGTGAATGCCCAAAACATGTTTACAAGACTCCTAAATGCAAGTCATACTGCCAGTATGGATACGGCAAACGTTACGAAGCCGATAGAATTTTCGGTGTGTCCTAGATTCAACAAGCTGATCCCTAGTTATGGTTGTCGATGTCTTAAAAGAACCAACTTCTTCTTCAGCAAAAAAGGTATATGGTCTATACAAAGATGAAGATATTATTCGAATGGATATCATGAAGAAGGGGCCTGTTCAAACAGCATTCGAAGTATTTGAAGACTTCTATTCTTACAAGAAAGGTGTCTATGTGGTGAGTACAATTTTTTTTGTACATATGTGATTAACCTTACCTCTATTTATCCTTTGTGGTGAACAGAAAGAGAGTATTACTTATTTAGTTGATGAAGAGCATCCGCAAAAGGGACTGAATGATTAAGTAACAGGCTTTCTTTCTCTATGTAGTACTTGAATTCTAGAGTTCTTGGCGTTAACCATTCACATTTTTGAAAGAGAGCGCCCGCGGACTCGGCTTCCATACAAAATTGTTGTGTGTGTTTTGAATGCTTGTGTGGCACATACAGGTTGGGCAAAATTAGTGGTGCACTAAAAAATTCAAAAACATTTCGAAATCAAACTTCAGAAGTCAATACTAATTAAACTGCAATACTTAACATGCTAACGGTTTTTGAAATGATCGCCCTCAGCCTCCACACAGTCCTTCAGACTTTTGACGAAGGCTTTGCATGTGTTACGCAGGTACTGTTCATCAATTTCGTCCCAACATGAGAAACGCTTCTTTAGGAGAGTCCAAACATGGGTATCTGGTAGACACGCTTTTTTCTGAGGTAGCTTGCACAGAGTAGTCCATCGAGTAGCAAGAATAACATTGGAGGGCCACTCGTCGTGTAAGATGAAGTCGGGAAGCTGCTCAGTGCACCTGTTCTAGACCGCTCTGTGTGCTGAAGAAGAATCCTGTTGCAAGCACCACTAGACTTTACGAATTGGATGTCTGCCCACCTGGTTGAGAACTTCCTCTAGGATTTCCTTGTAAAGTGCTGCGATGACCACCACGCCTGCTTCCAATAAAGTAAATGGAGTATTTCCCAGAGATGTGACTCCTTTCCAAACCATAATAATTCGGAGTTGTTTCGCACATTCCTGTCGTTCTTTTAGCGGTAGCATCAGTGAGTGGATCAACGATGATCCTCTCAATTTGAAAAATGACGACTGGATTCAATGTGAAGATCGTTTCATCGCTGAAAGCGATGTCCCGAGCGCATGCCACGTGAATCTTTGCAGCAACCTTCCGCACTTTTCCAACCTCCTTTTTCTCCTGCTTTTCTCTTTCTTCGGTCTACAATTCCTTACAGCGTTCTAATGCACCCTTGACCGTTCTTTGAGGGCACGAGAGAGATCCATCTCTCGTTTGTTTGCCGGCCTTATGAAGTTTGGCATTAGTATTTCGAACGTTGGAACGCCTAATCGTTTTGTATTCAAGCACGTATGAGTTTCAAAACGTTCGGTTAACATATCTTGTGCGGAAAGGGAATATTTCCAAGAAAATTTAACAAATTTAAAATGTTTAGGTGCACCCAGTGATTTTGCAACACCCTGTACTTTGTGGCTTGCACTGGCCAGACGATGTACAAGTCGGCTTTTGTAACCTTTTGCTTTATCCTGGTACCAATTAGCCCAGGATCGATGGAAGGCCTGGTTTGCCTAAATGAGTATTGAGGCGGGATTCGAACCCGCGACCATGCGTGTGTGGTAGTGCAATTTTTGCTACAGCACCTCCGCCGATGTAAAATGCAACACGAAAACTATACAATTATTTAGTTGGCAAAACGGAAACATTCGTTCTGACCACCACTTTTTCCTGTTTTCAGCATACAGCAGGCGAACAAAATGGCTTACATGCTGTTAAAATTATCGGATGGGGTGTTGAAAATGGCACAAAGTATTGGACGGTTGCCAATTCGTGGAACACTGACTGGGGAGAAGATGGTATGTGATGTTGCTGTATCGCTGTCTCTAAAGCTATTACCTTCATTCATTTTAGCTCACCCATGCACGAAATCGGGGCCGGTTCTTAATTTCTTACACAGCTCTAGGATTCTACATTCCAAACTCATTTGCACGGCTGGAATGACCCAATTCCAGGACAATAAACTAGATTGAGCTAACATTCGAACGAGCTGTCCAAGCGTGTGTGCCGTTGCGCACAGTTTTCTACAGTAATCTGTTTGCGTGCAACGTGTGGGTCCTAAGGCGGAGGTACAACCTCCTCATTCTCCATAACACCGTAAAAAACTCGTCCTCCTTCGGATGATTCGTTTAAAGCTGAGCAAGTTTCGGGGCCTTTATTAAGCCCTGTATAAGCCGTTTTTCGACCCGGTAGCATCCCGTTTGCCTTTGGGAGGCACATGCACAGGTTTCTGGAGAAAGGGAGAGGTCTAAGAAACCATTTCTGATGTTAACTATACTTTAAAAAGATGACTGCGAATAGCAGATACTGTGCACTACTTACTGTCTACCTTTCCAGGTTATTTCCGTTTCCTGCGTGGAGTAAACCATTGTCGCATCGAAGGATATGTTCTTGCCGGAGATTTCTGAGTGATAGGACTCGACCCATCAAGAATCGAGTCGTATGTACTGAAATGAATTATTAACAAATCATTTGGTTGTTAGCACAGCTCTACTATTTGCACCTAATTAAGGCAGTGTAGCCTGCTGTTTCGACTCCATGTATCAGCGCTTCCGTTTATCGACTTTCTAGAGCATTTGTTTGTCAGATTACTATAGAAGCGAGGACATTAGTAATGTAAACGATTGCTCAGACCAGTTAAGAGTTTTAATCATTTATGAGCTTGATTATTCATTAAGTTACTCACTTAGTAATCACTCATAGATACAGTATCCAGTGAATAACTTATATAATAAAATATGAAGGGCCTTCATTGAGACAGAAAAAAAGTCTGAATTCTCAAAACATAAGTCGATAAGACAATCAAGGTGGTCGGGTAGGGCCACGTAGTATCAACGCCACCTCTGAAGGAGCATAATGTACACGCATGTAAGCTATCCAAGACTGGACCAGGCTATCGGTTTTCTTAACTCATAACGATTTCTTTCAAAAGCCCAGAATAGTTAGTCCAGTTCAGAAGAACCTTCTCGAGCTGTATAAATCCAGATTACTGCATGAAATCAATTCGGTGATTTACCTGGAATCGAGGTCTTTTATTTTGTGGTCACGGTAAACTGCAAAAAATACTTCATGGTAACCCATGGTAGTCACTAACAGCTACAGAGTCATGTGATGAGTAAATGGTGTGCTGAGCTTTCTTTGCATGTTCTTCACTTCAACAATCCATTAGATTTGAGCTCTAAACCACCTGTATCACCGTTGTCCCTTTGATCATCGATTACCTGAAGTATGTTTATTCGCTCCTCTAGTAAGTCAGAGTAGTCTGGTGGTTCCTCCTCGCGCTAGATGTACACGAGGTATGCCAATTCTGTAATTCATGCCTTAGACGCGTCCCTAAGCGCCCTGCTACAGCGGTCATCACAAAATCGCATTATGTGTTCGGCTCACCTCATTTTCAGTTTTTCGGTGTTCCTGATTTTCACTAGCTAACGGAGCTCAAATCTTCAAAATTCTCTATGTGTTCGCGTGGAAAAGGAAGCTCAGCATATCTGACGTAGACCGCCTGCTCTTCTTACTTACGTAGTATGAAAGTACTCGACGCAGAATGCTCGACTGAAAGGAGATATTGCAGTGCATAACTTCCTTCATCTACATCATATCGCTTCGACAAATTCGGAGATCTAAATCACCTCTCGGAACGATTAACTGTTCAGTCCTTGTATGTGTTAAGAACGAACAGCATTTGAAGTATTGGGTTAAAGCAGTTCTTAGTTGGATTCTCCTCACTCCATGACAAACATTAAAGGATAAAGTGTAAAGGATAAAGCCTTGGGCGTCAATCAATCCCGTCTAAGGGATGCGTCCCCGCATTCGACTTCCTTTCAGGGTCGCAGAAGCCTATTGAATGTGGCCGATACAGTAAGTTGCGAAGGTCAGCCGACAAATCTGTGCTTTTTCCTCCCAGATGACTGTAGCAATTAAGCGAATCCGGAAGCATGGAAGGTTTGGATGGCCTAGGAGGATAGCGATTCGGGATTCGAAACCGTGCGTGCGAGATAGTGCGCCACTAACCACTACACCACTTCCTCCCATGACTGACATTACTTTTGAAAAACAAGTGCGTCTATAATACGTTGGCGTACCGGAAATCCTGAACAATTTTGTCCGATTTTCTCAGTCATTAATACGGTTTGTAGCTGATAACGCAGCCAGGACAAAGAGAATGGTAATCACTATGCACTGTTATTGATTTCATGGCGAATCTGCAACACGACATTAAGGAGAAATGTTCTTTGTTGCTTTTGATAACCCGAGAGTTGTATATTAAGAAGAATCGAATGCTGTCGAGGCCCTTACAGTGCAACAGTTTTGCACAATAACCTGTGTGTAGTATACAGAGAAAAAGAAGGTCGTTCAATAATTCAGTACAATAATGACTGTTCAGACTATTTTTCTTACAATCACAATTGTATTTCTTCATTTACTACGAAAAAATTAAAAGTTCACGTTCGCATTGGAATATTCTCACAAAATATTGGCAAGTTCAGACAGACGTTAATTTGAAATATAGTTCTTAAAAAAGGGACAAAAACAAATAGAGCTCGTTGAACTTTTCCAGTCATAACCATAGGTACACGAATGGCTTGATCATGGGAGTAGATAAAGCAGATTAGTCAAAGGCCATTGGATGAATGCTGATCGTATGAATAGCTCTTCTGAGAAGTGAAGTTCAAAAGAGTTTCCTGAAGGATACTACAGGATTGGGTAACTTTATGTGCAATAAAAATGAACTGGTTAGTATTCAGAGTCCATCGTGCTGAAAACATCGTAAGCATTGAGAGTAGTTGAAGACAGGATTTGCAAAGTCATTCAATCTCGTCCTGACGGGGTACTGAATTATGTAGCAATTCCTAACTGAACTTCAAGTAAAAATGAAAGCTCCCATCCAGTGAGAATTGGTAATTTTCATAGATGTTCCCTACTGCAAACACCAACTGTAACAGCTTCATTCACGGAAGGATCGCAGGGCCAATTTGCATTGGCAAACTGCTGCTTTCACATGAACCCACTTGTTTGTAAACGAATTTTTTTGCCGAAAATACGTCCGAAGGCTTTCCGAACTATGTCGTTTATCTATGAGAAAGTGTATTGAGGCTATCATATTCAATAATATTACGAAGAAACATAATGGGAAAACAGAGGGTGTGAAAAACGAACAAGAGGATCCTTGAAGCCTCCAAGGATAACGGCTTCGGCGGCAAGGCACATCTTGGAAGCTATTGGATTGGGGTTATAGCAAAGTTTGAATAAGATTTGGGCGTATGCAATCGAAGATAGTTTGCTCTCTCAAAAAAAAATTCGAGCTAAAAAAATTTCCGGTGCATAAAAAAGCACCTTGCACTTTCTTCTAGTGATTATAATTGAATGTTTTTGCTATGCCACATGGCTTTTTATAAAGCCACCTAGCGATAAGGCATTGCAGTTCTCTTACCTACACTAACGTCCAGTTCACGAGTCGTTACGAAGCACTTCGCTGTCTGATCAAAAACTGCTAATGTTGGTAAGTTCTCTTAGTCAGGGAGCCGTTGTATGCCGTAGTCTGAAAAGAAGTCGATCAGAGCTCTATTTTGAAAAGGGGGTGTTTCGTTTGCTTCCACTCTGCGTTATGAGATTTCTGGGACTTTAATTTGGACCACAAAGTTTTTGGGTTGTTCCCTTTTATTCTGTTACTTTATCAGAGAAAAAGGCAGAACTCAGAAGTGATTAGTTCAGGTCACACTCATATTCGTCCTATTCTTCGTTTCCAATTCAATTCAAAGAGAGCTTACAGCAGGTATGTTGCCTGTATAGTACAGGTCTAGCCAGAAAGGTGGAGGACATGCCTTCTCATCATCTGCAATGCTACAGTAGCGCTCAGAAGACTTCAGCCAAATGCTTCCTCAGCCGCACTTTTCAGTTGTAACTCCTTTCATACTGGATCTAATCATGTGAATCATGGATATGTGCAGTTTGGGTATACTGTGAATATTTACCACCATCAATCTACAGTCTGATCATGCTCCAAATATCCCAAAAACCTTGAAGTCAAAATCAACGGGAATTACGGATAAGGAGCCTTTTGGGATTTTTTTATCCTTTTTGTGATTCTTGAATCTACCAAAGCTAGTGCCGAACCCAGTGGAGGAGAAAAACGCACATAAGGTGCGAATAACTGCAGACGTTACTAACTTTGCTTTTAGCTAATCTGCTACGCAACCAACACCTTCCACTAACCTGGATATTGCTGTTTTGCAGTCAAACAGTGTCATGTAGCGTAAAATATGTTGTAGATAAATATATTAAAAGTTCGCGCAAGTTGCACCACTAAGAAAAAAGTTATGAACGAAAAAGCGTAAAAGCGTTTGGTCGAAGGCTTTTGAGCGCTAGTGTATCTGCTTCTGCTTCAAACTATCTCGCTCTATTTGAGGACTGCTCTGAATCCCAACGTTGAACCCACAGTTGACTTGCTAAGCACAAAATGAGACATTCATTGAAGAAAGTGTCCTGTTCCATCGAATTTCGGAAAAACCATAAATCATCGCCTTCCGCGCTTGAGTTGTGCAATACGAGCAGAGGTTTGTAAGACATTTCCAATACAAACACATCCGGAAGATCGGCTTCGTAGGAATGGAGTTCTCCAAGGTCTTAGTTTCAAGATGAAGAAGTGACGCTGGAATGGGAGACGCGCCATATTTACGTTTGTTCATTTAATAAGGAGCCCTACAAACTTTTGAACAACTTCATTCTGTTTTTCCTTTATGTAACGCTCGATTCCCATGAAACAATTGAGATGCCTTGTTTGGAGCCAAACAGTATCCAGTCGTTCAAGCTTAGGCTTATACTAGGCTTATTCCGTATCTGCATCATGTCCTCGACTTCCAGAGATTGGTTCCGTCTGTGCCCAATTCGTAACTTAGGATACTTACCATGAAAACAAGTCAGCGCTCCTATAAACTCAGACAAGTCGGGCATTAATTCACCTACCGCGCTGAATAGGACGTAGAGTTTAAGCACTGGCAATCGTGATAAAAATTGCCCATGTTAGAAGTGCATATCGTAAAATAATTGTCATGAGGAATCCCATATCATTTGTGGAAGTTACGACTTGGAAGCCCTCCCAACTGAACTGTACTTTGGAGACTAAGCAACAAAGCACGACACACCACGGAAATCTTTGTCGTTGTTTTGGAACGATAAGAAAGTGCGATTATACACCTTTGTGGCTCTCACGCGATGACGGGAATCTTGTGGACTAATTCGTTAGAGTAGAGCTCTCAAACTATGTACTGCTCAAACGTGCAAACGAATTGAGCCATTCATACATCTGCTCATACCCTCGGGCCTTTACCAAATTGAAAAATCTACACATTTGCTCAATATTTGAGCAGATGTGAACCACAAATTTCTGTTGAACATATTGACCTGCGTTTAAAAAGTAATTTTTATTAGTGATTTCAAAACCAAAGGTGTGACTTTAGAGCTGACAGAGCGGCACAATATTCCAGCTGCAGAGAGGCTTCTTAGGTGAAGTCTCATAGAATTAACAAACTCTTTCAAAATGAGGCAATCATTCCAAACTTACCATTCTTTTAGAAGCGTTCGCTGCTCAGCCAATACCAAAGCATGCTCAAGAATTGACTGGAGAGGCTTTAGTGGAATATGTCAATGAGAGACAGTCGTATTTCGAGGTCGGTTCTTTTTCATATTAGATCAAACTTCCGCACAGACTTGGTACTCGCCTACTACTCAAGATTCTTTAGAAAGGTAACTGAAATCTCTAGAAAAAAATTCCCATCCGAAAGTGGGAAAGGTTATTTTGATATATTGGGCGCCATTGTGTTAGAGCTCTATTACAAACCGTATGGGATAGGTGAATAATTCACCACGCCTTCGCTTCACATTGCGCCTTTGATTAGAGCTTCTTCTGGAATATTGCTTAGTAAAATCGGAAAAAAATTGAGTGGTGAGCTTTTTCTTGAGATGTTCCTGAGTTGGACAAGTTTCCTCTCAGTGTGAGACAGCATGGATACATGGGTCAGCGAAGAGCGTTACCCTTCATCTAAAACCATAGTAGCGGATCATGGAAAAAGGCGACCGGATGCCCCAGAAGTATGTACTCCCTGAAAGGGCGCTGACAGCATCGACTGAATGTGACTCACCTCTTTCTCCTTCCCGATTCACATGGCTTACGGGGGAGTTTGAAAGTAGTAACGCTCACCGAAGCATCGAGCCCTACGCATGCAGATTTAGCTCAAGCTTTTCCTCACCCTTTTCAATTTACTGAAGTTTCCTGGGCCTAACACCTCTATCAAGTGTACTTCAAGCACGACGGTATGAATAACATATCATTGGAACATCAAGAAAAATTAGCCTATGACATATGGAACCCTTGGTAAACGTCTCAAAAGAAGATCTTGTATATGTGTGGGACATGAACCTCTTTTATATGATGAGCAGTGATCTTCAAATTCATAGAAGACTATCATTGTTATGCAAGTCTTAATAACGGTACATCCATTTTTCACTTTGGGAGCTGCTTTCAGTCGCTTTAACTCGAATGACATTTAGGCCGAATACTCCCCGGAAGTTGCCGAAAAGCGTCTTGGTAGTTTGATGAAAATGGAATACCTCCGTTCACCTCCGGGAGAATATCGAGCAATGATGCTAGAAGAGTCAAATGCAAAGGAAGAAATTCCAGAGAGGTGATTAAAAGACATTGTGATTGAGGAAAGAGGATAGTGACAGTCAACGTTACAGTTCGTAATTGATCCTTGCTATTATGAAATTATTATGACAAAAAAAAATCTGACTTTCTCCCATTTGTAAGGGAAACAGAGATTCTGAGTTTTATCTAACAAATCTTGGAGTGTCTGCTGTTGAGTAATGTTATTTTCCCGAAACTCAGGCTATATTTAATATTTTCTGTTCAGTTTCGATGCTCGCGAGAAATGGAAGAACTGCACCTCCATCGGCTACATTCGGGACCAATCGAATTGCGGTATGAACATAGTGATAAGCTGTCCTCACAAAAGTAGCAAAAGACATCTTCACCTCCAGCCAAACAACTTTAATTCAGAATCACAGAGGTAACAGAATGTGTTGCGACCTCTAGGGTGACTTGTATCGGTGGTGCACTTCTTCATACCGCTTATCCCACATCCAGAAGATACGCACTGACTGGGCTCAACACATATGAGACGGGATGCTGCGCGATTCTTCCCTATAAATAGTCTGCGTCAGAACTTAGCATATATGCTGGCTATAATATTATTCCTGGTAATGCGAAGCTATCGACCCTGCCCTACCCTAACTTCCCTCACACCTTCCCACTGCGATGGCCCAGATACATTTTTTCCCTTCTATTCTTGGATATGATGTTGACAAGTGAATATGCAAAGTCACTGCCTGTTTCACTTTATCCAAGCAGCACAATATGAGGTGGACAAGAACCCTCGATTCTAGCCTTGACCATCTCTCGCGCAACGAAGAGCTGCCCCTATATGAGTTTGTATTCTGATAACACTGAAAAGCAAATCAAATTGGTCACGAGCATGTTTTTGCAACCCGCAAAACCGCTCGGCACTCTTCACCATCGGGGCGATAACGTGGAGTTGGTGCCTGAGGATTCAAGTTGCAGGAAGGAGTTGCAGGAAGTGTCTGTACTTCCTACTTCTTCCTTCTTCGAGGAGATACGTTGAATAGAGCCAGGTTTTAGATCCGCGTCCCTTTCCAAAAGCTACATATAGTAATCCTGCAGATGCAGTTGAGGAAATTTGCTGGTAACCGAAAGCAGAGAACTGCCGTACTCGGGGGTTTATCAGGGATGTACATATGGTTTTGGTCTATGCCCAAACATTTGGAAAACTTTTTTTCAGGTTCGTGTTGGGCGGTATCAGCTGCGGAAACCATGTCCGATCGTCTTTGCATCCACACATATGGTAAGAGAAAGGTCAGTTGGAAATGTGTCAGCATTCTTGAAGGTCGAAAAATTATGTGCCATCAGTTGCATAGATGAAGTACAGCCGCACTTCGTCCTGGTAGAATCCTCTAACAGACCTCGAGCAAAACTAAGTCGGCAGAGCCTAAACTATGGAAGTGTAACGTTACCAGAAGTATTTGTTCTGGGCTTTGGACTAAGTGCACGGCATATGCTACGATTGTCCGTTGTGAGAGGCCATATTTCTCAAAGCCCTAGACTAGGCATAAGGGCAGGCGTGGCAACTCGGTTCCAGCGAAATGTCAGCGACAACGGTGCTTAGAGCTAGTCACCCCAATCTGCATTTGAACAAGTTATAGATGCTGCTTCTAATCAACACGATTACAGACAATACTTTCGGACACGGATATTCTTTCATGCTGTGGAACATATTGTGGATATGGGTAAGTTCATCAGCCATCATATTCAGTATCGTAGTCATTATTCATCGTGTAACAGACAGATTTTCTGTAAAAGTTGTTGTGTAGGCTAAATTTCCCAATGTATTGGATAAGCACTGCTCATGTACTAAACACTTGGTATGGTGCATTGAAATTTCAATTCTTTGGCAGGTGTGAAGGAGGCTACGCCATTCGAGCATGGGGATTTGCTAGGGATAGCGGTGTGTGCAGTGGTGGACGGTACGAGACAACGGTGGGTGAAATAGATGTTTAATAACATCCGGAGCGGTAAATAGGAAATGGGTAATATGCTTGTTCTCTAATGCTGTACCCACCGACTTTGCATGCCGTTTCTTTCCAATGTTCGAACTGTTACTTACAAGAGGAATTTGGAACATGGGAAATATTCAGGATAACTGCAAACCCTACGTCTTTTATCCATGTGGATGGCACTCTGGTCACAAATACTATGGCGAATGTCCATATGATCACACATACGCGACACCACCGTGCAAGGAATACTGCCAGTATGGATACGGAAAGCGCTATAAAGATGACAAATTCTTCGGTAGGTATGGAACCTAATTCGAGCCATGGATTCCTAATTCTTATCAAAACCATATAGGGAAACCAGATCCCAATCAAGTAGTTCCAGTACTTAAAACCTCATCCATACCTACTTGCTACTGGCATAATTGTGAAGCTAATTTCTTGTGATATTGATCAGTTCGCATTTTCAGTGAACGGTGCGTTTATACTTCCACAGAATGAACGTGTCATACAAAGTCAAATTATGAAAAGAGGACCTGTACAAGCAGCATTCATCGTCTACGAAGATTTTAGCTACTACAGAAATGGTGTCTATGTGGTGAGCAGATATTTGTTATGCTATATGCATTGGGCTGCCATAGAGTACTAGATGCTCTCACCAGCTAACAGTGCACCCCGAGCTGCAGCACCAATACATTGACTCTAAAAGGTGCGACTTGCAGTTAGCTTGACTTGTCACTGTTATGTACTTTTTTCAATCGCAGCTCCAACTCTCTAAGCTATCTGTGAATTCAAGTAGCCATTTCGGCACGTGCATATGTAGCATATCACTTATTACATCCGTTTTCAAGAATAAAGTGAAGGCATGAGAAGGGACTGTGAGAGTAATGAATATCTCGTTGAAAAACAGTTTTTCCCACTAACAAGAGTAGGGAGACTGCAACGCGATGAGTGCCGTTGAAGATGAGCACGTGAGGAAAGGCTTCTAGCTTAATCGACCCAGCAAATCTCTAGACTTAGCAGTGTGGTATTGTGTTTATTATTCAAAATGGTCAATCATTTTCTTTTCTCAGCACACAGCCGGTAGAGCACGAGGAGCACACGCTGTGAAAGTCATTGGATGGGGAGTTCAAAACGGCACGAAGTACTGGACAGTTGCTAATTCATGGAATACTTATTGGGGAGAAGAAGGTGTGTGAAGTTCTTACTGTCAAAAATATATATTTTCCGAGAAGAAAGTTGTGACGTTGGCTATCACTCGGAAATTTTTTCCCTGGCTGTCTAGCTTGAAGAGGGACGAGATTGTGTAATGCTGAATTTCATGGGCATCAGTGTACCCGAGCGCACAGCTCATAATAATTTTGAGTTACCCCTTTCAAGCTCAAAAGTAGAAGTGTCGGCGGGTGGGTCTCGGTAGAAATTCCGCAGAATCCCTGAAATCTAAGGTCCCCTAAAAGTAGTGGAAATAGAGCGTTGTATGAGATCATCATGGCGGAGGTCATCATGCTTATCATGATGGAAGATTAAATTATCATGATGGAAGGGGCCTTTAGACGAGAGTTTAGATGTTGCAGTTGCATAGTTAGCCAGTTAAGTTCAGCTAGAAATGCCAGAATTGCCATCTACCTTCGCCATGGTCATGTAGTTGTAATGGTACAGCCTCTACAACGCCACAGTAACTCGTACATTCCTGGGTGTGAGCGTCGACGCATCCGGTCTTCGAGCACTTATTGCACCCTCTACATAGGCCGTTTTTTAACTCGACAGCTCATCATAAGACTGTCGTATTGAGATGCCAAAGTTACTTTCCGCTTGGAGATCTGGAAAACCATGTTTTTGTAAGCTGTACCTTTAAGTTGGATCAGTCTCGAGTGATAAGGGATCAGAGTAGAGGAAAACTAAGAATTTAAGGCAGGCGAGAAAGGGAAATTGCCAAATAGTGAAATTTCACTCTTTTCCCGTAAAGTGGACGCATTACATCATTCCACACAGTACGATGTTCATGTGAATAAATCTGATCATGCTGATGGGATCCCTACTTTATATAAAGTTATTGAAAGACTGCTAAAGAAGTGATTACAGTGGAAATTCCTCATGCTTATCAGACCTTTTTTAAGGTTACTTCCGCATACTACGTGGTGTGAACCATTGCGAATTCGAATCAGAAATGATAGCAGGAGATTTCAAGCACGATATCTAGTGATATCAATTGATCTATCTTGCGGAATGAAACGTTTGAATATTGATTAGTAATCCAAAGATACTGTCCATATTGATAGAATTAAGTTATCGAATCGGTTACGGTTACACTTTGTCAGCTTCGACAGTTAGTTGAGAGTTGTTTAGTGTGAAATTGCTACAAAAGAGCTCCATACGGGTTAGTTCAAAATCTAAAAAGATTCTCTGCTTTTTCAATCTCTGTTCAATTCCTGCGGGTGCTTCTGAATCTGGCCTGCAAAAAATACCTCGTTGGAATGCGATTTGAAGAATTGTCTGCAGAAGTCCCGGAAGCAGCTGTTAGGAACATTCCCAACACAAATTACACTTAACTTCATTATAGGAAACTGAAAGGGATAAAGTCTTTGGGAGCTGATCAATTGCGATGAGAGATGCGCCCCAATCGCGACTTCCATTCAAAACCGTAGTGGCAGATTGAAAGCTTTTGTAGCGTATATGTACAAGAGTTGCGGTGGGCAGCCGACAAAAGTCAGTGCTTTTATCCTCCCAGACAATCCTGGTACCAATTCACCAACCCGGAGAGGAGATGGAAGGCTTGGTTGGCCAGGGCGAGAATCAGGATTCGAACAAACGATGCGTGGGTGGTAGTGCATCATTTGCCACTACACCGTCTCGGATAAATACTTTGCAACATATTTATTGCTGTTAAGCAATACAGTCTGATATGAGGCACGGTCGCTGTGGTCGAATTAACTCTAACTTTGGAATTCGTGTATGATGAAGAGTTGCATTCTGGTTGGTCCTCACGGATTTGAGTAAAAAGACTCTCGTAAGCGTAACACAGGCTGAAAAAAGGAAAAATGTCGTCGCAATCGCACTTGAAATATGCCGCTCACTCGTTGAATACTGTATCTGAAGTTATCAATGATTATGACGCAAAAATGGAATAATAATAGAGTTTGTAGTAATCCGGAAAGAACCGTTTTCATCTCGGTCTGTATCACCGCTGCTCTCTATCGCATTATGTGGAAATTTGGTTGAGCTTTGTGCATAGGCATCTAAAGCTAGATTTATTTTTGCAGAAATTTTGCTGTCTCAAATGTTTCCCCACCATCCCTGTAATTACTTTCGCCCTTTCGATTATGACATAGTGCGAGTTTAACATTTTTACTGTGACAGGGCTTCTGATAATGTCATTCTGATTCTGGTGATAAGGCACTGCAATTTCCACTGTTATACTAACATTTCTTATTTGGCTAGTTCACCTAGATTCTTCATCAGATTAAACGCGGCTAATGTTGGTGAGTAACCGGTTTTTTTATTGTTCAATTAAGTCATTTAATGGGTCACTTTATGGATTAGACTAAAAAAAGTCGGATATCTACTATTTACAAAAAGGGAAATATTGCAATCACTTTTTTAGTTTTGGTAAGTCCGGAATTACTGTCAGACTTGGATTGTTCATCTTTGAAAAATATTCCACACCACCGCTGAGGCCGACTCTTTTCTTTTCCATTTGAGGAAAAAGTTGACATAATAAGATGGTAGTTTAGGTCTCACTCGTATTCATCACATTCTTCGTCTCCAATTCGCTTCAAAGAGAGCTCACAGTAGGTGCGTTGCCTTTGGAAGCATTTTCAACTCTAAACACAGGAAGCAGAGGTACACGGTTTCTTAGCAGCTACACGATTTCTGAGCAGTTATAAGTTATAAAGTTGCTTCTTTGTCTCAGGACTCCAGCATGCTATTCCAAAAGTGGCGCAACTTTCAAGAGTTAACTGAAATATATTTCGCTGGTAACTATCGAATGAGATTATCGTCTACCTGCTCTCAAAGAGAAGTAGTGAAAAGATGATTTATTATTCTCAAATAAAACTAAAAATGTTCACCTTTTACGTTACAGGAGGGCTGTGTTTCCGACATAAAAATCAGTTTAGCAGTTAACAGAATTCATGAAATACCTCCAATACAGTGCGGGGACAATTTCATAAGCACAGACCATTGGATGGGGAACGGCAATTATAAAAAATTTGATTCGGCAGCCTCCTCCCCAAGTCATCTGCATTTTAGAAATCTGACTGAGCCACTGAACACGACATACATAGCTTGGAAACCTGTGCCATTGCTCAGGAATGATGAGCTGCGTGCGTTCAAGACCAATTTTGAAACCGTAAATCGCCAGTTCAGATATGATGACATAATATTTTGGCTGTGGCAAGGCCACATAGATGAAGTCTCACGAAATTCACTGACTCTTCCGAAAATAAGCATCTATTTTGATTTGACCACTCTTCCAGAAGACTTCGCGGCTCAACCGATACCAAAGTATGCACAAAAGTTGACTGGAAAAGCGTTAGAGGAATATGTCAACAAGAAACAGTCGTTTTTTAAGGTCTGTTTTTCTGTGGTACTTGATAGTCAATTAGTTTTTTCCCGGATAGGCAGATACGACTACTCAAGGTTTATCTACAAATGAAGCGAGAAACAAGTACCTT